CCTGGCAGCAACCAAAAATAGAAAAAAAAGTCTCAGATCAGTCGCAAAGAAGAAGAAAAGAAGAGAAGACGAGAAGAAGAAGAGAAGAAGAAGAGAAGAAGAAGAAACTTACAACAGCAGAGAAGAAGAAGAGAACTTACGCTAGCAGAGAAGAAGAAGGAGAAGAGCAGTCGCAGCTTCTTAGTCCAAAAAAGAATTTGAAGTCGCGAAAGAGAATATTAAGTCGCATAAGGATTTCAGCAATTAAAAAAAAAACTTACAATTTTAAAAAAAGAAACCCTAAACTGTTACCTTGTACAAAAAAAGAAAAAAAAAAAGAAACCCTAATTAGCGCTTTTTCAAATTAAGCGCGCTTTTTTTACGCTTTTGCTTTTCTGCGCTTCTCGCTTCTACAGTAGAAGCGAGTGCCTTTTCAATGTCGCCTCGCTTCACGAAATAAAAGCGCAGGGGCCTCGCCTCGCCTCGCTTCTCGCTTTAAGCGCGCTTTTCTGCGCTTTTTACAACACTGGTTTAGATTGATTTAAAATTCTGTCCAGTGACTTCAATTTGGGATTATGAACCGATAATTTTCATGGTATATATCAGTATCTCAGTAAATTCCAGCATGATTAATCGAGTGATGTTATTAAATTAGGTGTTTGTTACTTGTTTTATTATGGTATTATTTTCCTCTACATAGAATCTGCTATATCCATGTACCATCTTGTCATGTTAATTGACCAAGAATTAGTCCATGCAATTTACAAGGTAATCATTTCTTCCCTTAAATAAAATCCTTTTATACTTGATATATGTAATTTTGACTTAGAATCGCCATTAGTTAATATTTCTTACCGTATTTATTTGTAGACAGATTTTTGACATGTTAAATTTGGTAAAAGCATGCTTATATATGATAAAATGTGGTGTCATATTATAGACTCAATATGTGTCTCGCTAATTGACTGAATCCATGCGTATAAAATTGTGCTCTTCGCCTTAATTAAATAGTATAGATTCATACTGATTTCTTATATTTGGTAAAGATTTTGACTGATTTGACTCCTTTTTGTTAAGGAAACAAATTTTCCTTATTTTCTCTCATTAATAATTATCCTCTTCCTTTCGTGTGCCCCTTCCCACTATAAAAAGAGACCATTTCCCCCTTATTTGGATAGACTTACAAAGACCCTACTCACACTTGAATACTTTGGAAAATATTGCTCTCTACTTTAAAAAATAATTCTGGTGAATTCCAAGGAGTATCTATCCACTTTGTTTTGTTGTGTACGGGTCTATTTGAATTAAGTTCGACTACATTGCTGATAACTATACTCTGCATAATCGGTTAGCTCTTTTTTCCATTAGTTTACATTTTGTCTTGCATCATCTATTCTGAATATTGTGTGTTTGAAATAAATAAATAAATAAAGCACCCAGGTCAGTCTTCTTAATCTGTGTTCTATGCTTGACTTTATACTTCCGTGATTAGTTGAAATATGTTTGTGTATCCGTTTCCTGCTCATAAGTATGAAATAATTAAATGTCATGTGTGTTGCTTATATATATGAAAGTAATTTGTTGCTATTTGATATTACGATTGTTTTGCCATTATATATATATATGTGTGTGTGTGTGTGTTACATTTTTTCCTTCTAGCAGGTTCTTGAACGTAGAGTTCAAGATGTTGTAGAGTCGCCATGGGAGGGAAACACTAGTCAAGCTGAATTTATTTAATTGTGTTTTGTGCATTATTTAATTTCTATTATTATTTTGTAATAATTTGTATAACTCTCAACTTTCTCTCTATATATGAAATATTTGGGGAATCGTCTAAGGGGAGGGGGATATATGTGCTAACTATTTATTTATTTATTTTGTTTATGTGTGATTATTATAATCTATCTATCGCTTGAATCGTAGAATTGTGCAAACATATTAGAATCATTTAAATAAGTGGTTTAAAATCAACCTTTATTCATAACTTTATCCGACCAATCAACCTAGAATAAATATGTCATAATTTTGACTTTTAGAATCTCGCCTTGCATGTTAATATTGTTAAAATGTGGGAAATTGACTAATAATTATTAGACACCATGCCTATAGGTTTTATGAATCTTATTATGATTTTCAGTATGTTCTATTTAAAAATTATGATCATAAGGATTATCCTTACTTTACATGTTTTGGGCTTAGAAATCATGCATATAGGTTTAAAACTTTGTTACATAGTAGATAGATACCATGCCTATTGAAATTTAAATATCACTCAATATATCATTCGGGTGTAGAAATCATGCCAATAGGTTGTCGATCTTGTTCCTTACTTAGAAATCATATCCATAGGGCTTAACTAATAAAATTGATGTTTAAATAATGTTCGTGTGTTTTAATAATTCAAGCTTGTCATTTAATAAAACAAATTCTAATTAATTTGCTAATAAAATTCCAGCATATCAATCACTTAAGATTGCATGTCTATAGGCTTTTAGCAAGTTAATGATTGTTTTCTGCTCACTGTTAATATTTCTTGCATTTAAACTACTGCTTTTCCACCTATTTTAAAAGTAATCAACTAATTGCTAGCATGTTATTTAAAATCTACCATGTTTGGTTATTGTCGAACGTAATTAATCAACTAGCATGTTAATCACTTAGATAGCATGTCTATAGGCTTCTACTAATTTTCAGCATGTTTTAAAATAGAAATAAATCTGTATGAATATTCTCTATTCAAAATAAGTAATTTCTGCATTAATATTAAAATCTGCTACTGTTTTCTGCATTTACTACGTGTTTGTCCTAATTAAAACCAGCTAGTGATTAGTTACTGCTATAATAA